TGTTATTCCAAAGTTGGTATTTGCAATACTGGACATTCAATATGCAAATAAGCCTGTAACCAATCACAGTGTACTATTAGCATCTTGACTGTCACAGTTCCAGATGACTGTTTTTGTGGATGTTTTAATGTATTAAAATACTCATTTAATCCAACTAAAGCATTGTTTTTTTTACTGGCTCAAAAATATGTAGGCCAACTGTCGCCATCTAGTTACCAGTTGCCAGTGTGTTTTTCTGTTTATTGCAAAGAATATGGACAAAACAATATAATAATAGTATTAGCAATTTCTCCATATCATGCTGACATTGTAGCCAGAACTGGACAGAGTGTCTGATACTCACCATTGCAGACCTGCTGGAGAGAGCAGAGCAGCAGCACCATCAGCAGAGCAGACAGAGTCCTCATTCTAGCAGAAGAGATTTCACCCAGAGAGACGGAGACGGTCCAGTGCTGGATGAGTGACCAGTACCTCCTCATTTATACAGAGTGGGAGCAGGATCACCGCATGGCTGAAATCCCCTGATGAGCATGTTTCTCAATAGTAGTCGTAACATACTTCCTGTTCTTTCTAACACTAACATCACTTCTGTGTGGAAGAACAACCTAAGGGATTTTTAGACTGAGAATCTTCTTCTAATCTGCCCCGAGAGACAGACCTGCACAGAAAAGACACTTTTCCAAAAAGTCATATGCAAAAGTCTGAAGTACATGTTGTTCTTGATTTTCTTAGTGAAAGTAAGTTCACACATTCTCTACTGTGAACACACTTTGACATTTTCCTGCAAAAATCTTAGCACAAGTTCTATTTATTCATTGAGTTTTACATATTAGAAAATAAAATACAATAGTAAAGAAAGAAATACAACAGTAAAGAAAACAATATGTGGCATAATTTTTTGCACAGGTCACGTTTTATGTTTTATTTTTTTCCCCAGTATGTTAACTTCAGCAAATGTGCAGAAGTGTTTTCTCTGTAGAGGATGTGATGATTTTTTTTCACTTCAACAAAATTAACAAAACATAATTTGACCAGGGGTACCAAAACTTTTACATATGACTGTAAATATTCATGAAGCCCTTCTGACGACTGTATGGACAGATAAACTGACCATAAACAGACAAAAAGCCAGATAGATTTATTGACATCCACACTGCTATGCAGTGATGACAGTCATGAAGGCCTTCTGAAAACTATATGGATGAAAATTTGCACCAGATTACTGGACATCTGAGATATGAAATTGTAATGGATGGATTAGTCTATATTTGCAATTGAGATTCCTTGGACTGTGAAAAGAAGTGATAAAAAAATATTAATATGAAAAATTATAAATACGTAACTAGAAAAGGAAAGTTTGTGACTGAACTTTAAGTTGGCTTGACCAGGCCGGATATTAATGATTAAAATGTTAAAGTAGTTGTAGAGCACCGTTTACTGTCGTTGTTAACTTGATTTAGTTTATATCCTAATTCCAGGATGTTGCTATGATTTTCCAGCTTGTTGTTAGGGAGCTTCTTGGTGTTTGTTAGGAGGTTGCTAAGGTATTGCAAAGCCATTGCTACACTATCCCAGGTGGCTGCAAGGATGCTACTTAGCCATTGCTAAAGTGTTGCACGGCCATTTCTATGCTATTTCAGGTGGTTGCTAAGGTGTTGCAGAGTCATTTCTATGTTATTTCAGGCGGTTGCTAAGGTGTTGCAGAGTCGTTTCTATGTTATTTCAGGTGGTTGCTAAGGTGTTGTTTGCTGGTTGCCATGAATCCAAAACCACTAGCACACTATTCAGGTAAAGATTCTTATGAATAAGACGATTATGTAAAAGAGTGAGCCAACTTATATTATATTATTATACCGTATATTATTCTCATTTAGTCACAATCACACAATTTATTGTTTAATTTGTAAAACTGAAATGCATAATAATAATAATAATAATAAATAATAATTTATTTTCATACATGAAATACGAAGAAGTATTACTCTGACAAATGCCTTTAAATGGTAGTTTTGCATTAATTAAAGTTAACTCTGTTATTAATCTACTGGTACTCTGCTTCAAAATGAGGCTAATCAAGCTGATGACTTTTTAAATGTGGGTAAAATCTTCTATAAAACAGGAAGTGTTTCATTGGTACACTGTGAAATGTTACACAGAATGACTGAACAGAAAACTATAGAATGAAGAATCTTCTCCACAGTGAACTTTCACTACCTCAGTCTTCTGCTGAATGAAAACACTCGTCTCTCCACAAAACAGCTTTACATTCTTAGGAAGCAGAGGAACAGAAGATGCGCTGATGTCAGTGTTCATTACAGTCAATCTCTCTTATAAGCGTTAGTGATTATCTTCAGATGATCTACTGAAGAGCTCTACTATAAAATAAGCCTTTCACGTTATTGCTAAAGTATCCTCTACAAATATTGGCACCCCTGGTAAACATGTCCAAACAGGCTGTAAAAACATTCTTTATCGCTGCACCTTTTGAACTTTGATGCAAAATGTTAACAAAATTCCAACCTTTACTTGAAGTACAATGACAGAAAGTAAAAACTACATCTTAACATTAAATAAATATTTTTCCTTTTTTTAATTCTTTGTGCTCCTTTTGCAAAAATAACAGCTCCAAGTCTCTCCTGTAACGTTTAGTGTGACTGGAGAACACATGGCGAAGGATCTGAGACGCTTCCTCCTTACAGAACCCCTCCAGATCCTTCAGATTCCAAGGTGGTCCACACTTCAGCTTATTTCACAGGTTTTCTATGGGGTTTCAGTCAGGGGGCTAGGGTGGCCCTGGCAAAACCTTAAGTCTGTGGTCAGTGAAACATTTTGCATTGATTTTCAGGTGTACTTTGGACCATTGTCCTGCTGGAAGATCCAACCATGGTCCAGTCTCAGCCTCCTGATTGAGGCAGGCATGTTTTAGTTTAATACCTGCTGGTACTTGATGGAGTCCATGATACCATGTATCTGAACAAGTGGAGGAAAACAGCCCCACAGTATTACAGATCCACCACCATACTTCACAGTGAGCTTGGTGATCTTTGTACCAGTGTTTGTGGAGAGTCTGTGCAGGGCTGATTTTGAGTCATATTCCATAGTATTCTCTGAAAGGGAAGCATGTTGTGGCCTCCCCAAGCAGGTAATACTCACATAGCACCTTTCATGTGGGAGCTACTGCTGATCCACCAGTCGCCTACAATGTGTGACGAGCTTTTTTTATGACTTAGCTTTTAACAGGAGTGTCTCATCTAATCAGCTTTAGGAGTCTCTGAAAAGAGCCAACATACAGCGTTTCAGACACGGAACAGTAAGAGATTCCAGCACTTAACATAAATACGATCATAAGGCTTAAATATGTTTCAGAAATAAATGAACCAATAACTGCCCTATTTAGTTCACTGGATTATTATTAGAGTTAAACCCAGCTGCAGTGAACAGTTTCTCCACTAGAGGTCAGATGGAGAGAGCAGAACAACAGCAGAGTACACAGGTCACTGATTCCACTAGAACGTCTGATCTCAAACCAAGAGAGAAAGAGGGAGAACTGCAGCTGAGGAACAGAGAGAGGAGTCCAGTTCAAGATGAGTGACCTGCAGCTTTTTACAGAGAGAGAGAGTGCTGGGTGCATAAACTTTGGCAAAAGCACAGATGGTTCAAAAGGGCACTAGGCAAGAGAAGCAGAGCAGAAGGAGATCAGAGTCCTGTCCATTATGAATGAAAAGCAACTAAAGTCAGTAATTTTTAGTATATAAAAAAATACCTTTATAGACATGAAGATCTAAAGTTGTGGTATGTTGTGTTTAAATTTGATGTTAGTGATGGAAAAAGTGATTTAAATTATAGAAGTTGAGCATTTTTGTTGCAGGAATCAATAACAGATGGTGTAATCCTGATAAACACTGACGGTAGAGATGAGATAACCTTGAATATTTTGATTTTATTTGTGTTCCAGGTAGATGTTTTGAAACGGTTCAAAGTTCACACTCTCGCGTAATCACTTGATTCAGATCAGTGTGGATCCTCAATTTAGAGTTACTTGCTCCTTTTGCTGCATGGACCAATTACATGTGTTGTGATTGATGGAGCACATGAGAAAACAGCATATTATATATCATTATATACGTACTTTTTGTAATAAACGTGTCTTTTTTTGATAACTCATTTAGTTGTAATAAATGCATTTGTCACTAATTTATTTTAAATAAAATAATTTTGTGTCTTGAATTTAAAAATGTACTTCTGTAATTTTTAGTTTTACTGGAATAGAGAGAAACTGAATATAAGAGAAAATCAAGCTCCACTACTTCAGATCTGAAAACATCCACAGGTGTTTCTGTCCATCCTTCCACTGTGAGAAGATGACTCAGCGCTGTGGGTCTGAAAGAATGTGTAGCTGTTCAAGAAGAACCTCACTGAGAAAAGGAGACGGACACATCAAACAAAGAAGCTGAACAATGGACTGACCACCCCAGAGTCCAGACCTCAACACTACTGAATGTGTTTGATTACTTCAGAAAATGATCAGCCAGCTTCTAAGACTGAACTTTGGAGGTGTGTCTGCAGATTCTCTGAGGAACTGAAAGTGAGTCTCCTGAAAAGAACAGAAGCTGGAATAAAGGGAAAGAGTGACACACTGACTCACACAGCTGAGAGTAGAGTTAGTTGTTGAGGCTTCTGTGTAATTTTCTTGGTGAATGTGTGTTGAGTGTAAGGAAAGGGTTGTAAATGATGATCATGTAAAAAACAGACCTGATCTGAGATCATTCTGACACTTTTTAAAAGCCAGACCTGTGATGAAATATCAGATGTGTATATGAGTGCAGTCAGTGGAAAATCCCTGAAGTTTCAGACACGAACTGCTACAGTTTCATCATCAGAAGAGGGTTTAATTTACTCTAACCTATCAATATATCAATATATCTTTACTTTGAACGTCTTAAAAAACATTTAAAATGTACTTTTATTATTCTACAGTCACTAACACATCAGCTACAACACTGGGGGAATGTCACCTTTATTGAAGAAAAAGAAATGCAAATGATACAATTTTGTACATTTATTAGCTCATTTTTTTAGTTTAGCTGCTGTCTATGCAGTTTTCCGCTGATCCAAGGCTTCGATGTGACTTCTTACCCAATCCCAGGAAGGATCCACACAGAAGATCTTTCCAGTATCCATCTGAAAGCTGTGACAAAGGAAAAAGTGACAAAACTCCATTAATACAGCAGATCAACACTAAACAAAGCTGGTAAACATGGACAGTGTGTATATGTGGCCTAAATGACATTGTTAGTAATAATTCCACATGGAAAATTGATTCTAAATCATTGCACTACAATACAAAATCAGCCTTTATGTCGTCTCTGTGATGATGATTTTGAGTTTATCAGGTTTCCTGGTTAATTACAGATCAGTTCAGTTCATTCAGTCAGTTCAACATGTTGATTGTGGAGACTCTCCTGATCATGTGATACTCACACAACAGCTTTTATGGGGCAGGTGCTGCTGGTCAGGCTGTAGGATTCAATGCGCGCCAAGGGAAGCTTCCGCAACTTAGTCAGCTTAACACAGCAATCTTCAATGTCAATGGGTTCAATTCCTTGAGAGAAGTCAAGATGCATCAGCATGGGTTTCAGGCCCACAGTGCATTACAGCATCACAGAAGGAGATTCCAGCACTTTAACAGATGATCATTATGGGAATTCCACCAAATATTTAAAATTTCTATGTAATTAATTCATTACAATGTCAACAAATTCATTCAGAGTGGTTTCATGTGAAATTTGACATTCTTACCGAGTCAGTGATGGTGATAGGACCCAGGGGCTGTATTACAGAAACTTCCTGTCTTTTTGTTTTAACTTAAGATCTGACAGGTCAAGATACAATTTTTTTACAAATTTGTATTATAGAAGCAAATCTGATCTTAATTTAGGAATCTTATCTTATCTTACAGCATTTTATCTTATTACAAGTTAGTTAATCTTAACTTAATAGATCAAAGTCGACAATCAACTGTCATTTCTGTTACCTAGCAACTGACCATACTTGCACGGCTGAAACGTAAACCTGTAAGTATAGTAATCAAGTTAGTTAGCCAGTCAGATAACTACCATTATGGATGTAAAAAAGGTCAAACAAAACTAAAGTGTAATAAACTGTAAGTAGTAAATACTGTGAGAGTGCCCCCTGCTGTTTATCAGAGCGTCGCCGCTCCCCAGTTTCAGTCTCCATTTCCCAAACGCTTTAGCCGAGCGCGCTAACGTTACTCCTCCTAATAAACAGACACACGTTCAGCTCCGTCTCCTCATTATTCACCACCATCACTGTAATATTTCACCATCAACATTAACACACGAACAGTGGTGGACGAAGTACACAAACCATGTGCTTGAGTTAAAGTATACCCAAGGTAAAATATTACTCTAGTAAAAGTAGAAGTTCCTCCCTTTAGACCTCCACTTGAGTAAAAGTACAAAAGTATTTGCCTTCAAATGTACTTAAGTATCAAAAGTGAAAGTAATAAAAGATTAATTATGGCTTTAATGTCCTATTATCATTTTTGTAACAAGACTCTGCTTCATTAACTCATTTTAGGTGAAAATACTCCAGAGTCACTCCTGGTAAACCAGTCTTTTAATAGAAGGTCATTAATTAGTGACGCTGATATCAATTAAAATGATCATAAGCACAAAACACTGAAGGCAAACAGTTTCAATCAGGTAGAACTGAGTGGCTCTGAAATCACTTTTTACAAACAAGCAAAGTTTCAGTTTAAGATTTATTTGCAACTTAGTTACAAGTTTAGGTTTAATGAAAACTTTAAACTCAGATTCACAAATGAGTTTCCTTTACTAAACTGCATCTGTAGGTCTCTGTTCATAAACATAAACTAGCCAAAACATACATATACATCATCTAAACCACTTATCCTTCTGGGTCACGGTGGGGTGCTGGAGCCTATCCCAGCTGTCATTGGGCGGAAGGCAGGATACACCCTGCACAGATCGCCAGTCCATCACAGGGCAGACAGACATACACATTCACACTCACACTCACCTAGGGGCAATTTTAGCATGTCCAATTGGCCTGACTGCATGTTTTTGGACTGTGGGAGGAAACCCACGCAGACACGGGGAGAACATGCAAACTCCACACAGAAATGACCCTGGTCACCTGGCCGGGAATCGAACCCAGGCCATTCTTGCTGTGAGGTGAAAGCGCTACCCACTGTGCCACTGTGCTGCCCCTAGCATAAACAAATTTACTATAAAATAAAATAGTGTTTGTATAAATTCAGAAAAAAGACACGTCAGTCACAACTGCATATGTGTACATATTTCTATATTCTGGTCTATTTACACAAAGTTAGGTTAGTTCATCATTTATGTTGAATAGACTCTCCCACAATTTTACGCTGCTGTACTGACGCTGAACCGTGTGCTGCACTGGGTCGGTATGACCAACAGGTCAAAACAAGCTCAAAACAAAGTGACGCTGTGCCCTGATTGGTGTTTTTGCTTCGCGCTTCTTTCATTTTGACGTTATGTTTTTATACACACATAAACCAAAAGGAACGACAGATTTCTCATAATGTAGTGGAGTAAAAAGTGAGATATTTGACTTTGAAATGTAGTGGAGTGAAAGGAAAAAGTCACCAAAATGGAAAAACTTCAGTAAAGTACAGATACACAAAAAAACTACTTAAGTACAGTAACGAATTACATTTACTTCGTTACTGTCCATCACTGCACATGAAGGTAATAAGAGGGACGGTGGAGATCGAGTCTGCAGCATCTGAGATTTTTAAACACTTTTAGAAAAAAACCCTCATTAGTCAAAGCTCAGTTTTTAGTGTAGATAAATGTAACATCATTATGCTAGTTATAGTGAACTGTGCTGCCTTTCACTGCATACAATGATAGAAACAGATGGTTAAAACTAAGGTTAAGACACCTCTGGGGTTGATCTTAAAGTTAGGACAGGAATAAAGGTGATTTAGTCCAGTTAGGATGCTCCTGTAATACTGTATTCTTATTTGGAGTTAATGGAGAAGATTATGAACTTTGTTGTTACAGAACTGTTATTCTGTAATAGCTACTGTCCTAAATTCAGTTCTAATTAAAGTCATCATGGTGACTAAACAGATGAAATAAGATTTCAGACTTGAGAAGCATAATAAATAAAGAAACATAATGCACATTTGTCTTGTAGTCATGGCGACCCCTGGTTCCGATCAGTTGCAGAGTTTCTCTATTATGAACCTTTTCACACCAAAACACTCTGAATGACTTTGTTTAGGAGGAGCCTATTAATATTTTTCTTATAAGAAACATTTGCACTCTTATTTTTTTTTTTCTTGGACGTGTAACTATGTAAAAGTGTTCAATTTCAACAATATTGGGTAACTTACAAATCTTTCAAAATAAGTATTTTCATGCATCAACAAGGAAACATCACCTTTTTTGACATTTTTTCCACCATGTTTCTAGTGGTTTCTAATCTAGTTTTTCTTTAGTGATTTTGTTAATTAGACCTAATATTGCTGAATCACTGCATGTTTTCTTGATGCGTAAATCCGTATATTAAGTTAAAATCGAGCAACTGCATATTTTAAAGGTTAATTTAAACATTCTGGGGGACAATATCCCAAAACAATTTTACAGTGAAATGTGTTGGGCCCGGGATCTTTACACTGGTCATTATTAGGGTTAAAGCCAATAGACAGACCTGAACAGAGTGTCTGATACTCACCACTGCAGACCTGCTGGAGAGAGCAGAGCAGCAGCACCATCAGCAGAGCAGACAGAGTCCTCATTCTAGCAGAACCAGTGATTTCTCACAGAGAGAGAGAGAGAGAAAGACGGAGAAGCGCTGCTGAGCAGAGGAGAGAGGAGTCCAGTTCTAGTTGACTGACCTGCAGCCTGTTATGTTTACAAGGAGAGCGCTGGGTACATAATCCTTGGCAAAAGCAGTGATGTTTCAAAAGGGCACTTGGCAGGAGAAGGGGAGCAGAGGGAGATTAGAGTCCCCTTCATAACAACTACATAATATTTTTCAGTTCATGGAAAGTTTAATATGGTGGTATTTTGAGTTCTGTTTTATTTTAGTCAAAGAAAAAAGATTTAAATTACAGAAGATGAACATTTTTGTGACAGAAATCAATACCAATCCTGATAAACAGAGATGATAGAAATGAGTTAGGCTGTCTTAAATGATTTGACTCTATATGAACACTTGTGCTGGAGGTAGAGGTTCTGAAACAGTTCCAAGTTCACACTCTCGCATTATCACTGGATTCAGCTCAGTGTGAATCCTCAGATCATTAAATGTAAATTTTAGTTTGTTTTGATTCAGCAGAGAGATACGGAATATAAAAATCAAGCACCACTCTTGATATAGATCTGAAAACATCCACAGGTGTTTCTGTCCATCCTTCCACTGTGAGAAGACGACTCAGCGCTGTGGGTCTGAAAGGATGTGTGGCCGTCAAGAAGAACCTCACTGAGAAAAGGAGACGGACACATCAAACAAAGAAGCTGAACGATGGACTGACCACCCCAGAGTCCAGACCTCAACACCACTGAATGTGTTTGATTACTTCAGAAAATGATCAACCAGCTTCTAAGACTGAACTTTGGAGGCGTGTCTGCAGATTCTGTGAGGAACTGAAAGTGAGGCTCCTGAAAAGAATGGAAGCTGGAATAAAGGAACAGAGTGACTCACTGACTCATGCAGCTGAGATTAGAGTTAGATGTTGAGGATTCTGTGTGAATATTTGTTTAAGCGTCCAGAGTGTGGAAGTGTAAGGAAAAGGTTTCTATTAAGTTGAACAGTGAATGTGTGTAAATGATGATCATGTAGAAAACAGACCTGATCTGTGTTTAAAACCAGGTATGTGATAAAACATCATATGTGAGAGTGCAGTCAGTGGAAAATCACTGAGGTTTCAGACACCAAAAAGCTTAAACAGCAAACTGATACAGTTTCATCATCAGAAGAGGCTTTAATTTATACTAATCCATAATCCATTTGGCTTTACTGTAAACCTCTTACAAACCATCTAAAATGTTCAATTTACATAAACTATGTTATAAAAATGTCATAACTATGTTATGTTAATCTATTATATTACTATTAAGTCACTAAAACATCAACTGTGAAAAATGCATGTATAAAATTTTACTGTTTTACTGTATAAACACTGCATAAATGTACTGTATATAAAATTCAACAGCCTTCACATGATCAGCTTCAGGGTTTGGAGGACGTTTAGAGTTTTGATGCTGTAGATGCTTTTTTCTGGTCCACTGCTTTCATGTGACTTTTGACCCAATCCCAGGAAGGATCCACACAGAAGATCTTTCCAGTAACCATCTGAAACCTGTGACAAAGGAAAAAGTGACAAAACTCCATTAATACAGCAGATGAACACTAAACAAAGCTGGTAAACATGGACAGTGTGTAAATGTGGCCTAATTGACATTGTTGGTAATAATTCCACATGGAAAATTAATTCTAAATCATAGCACTAGAATATAAAATGAGCCTTTAATGTTGTCTCTGTGATGATGGTTTTGGGTTTATCAGGTTTCCTGGTTAATTACAGATCAGTTCAGTTCATTCAGTCAGTTCAACATGTTGATTGTGGAGACTCTCCTGATCATGTGATACTCACACAACAGCGTTTATGGGACATTTGCTGCTGGTCAGGCTGTAGGATTCAATGCGTGCCAAGGGAAGCTTCCGCAACACAGTCGGCTTCTGACAGCAATCATTTTCAGAGCCAAGGGCTTCAGTTCCTTGAGAGGAGACAACATGCATCAGCATGGGTTTCAGGCCGACAGTGCATTACAGCATCACAGAAGGAGATTCCAGCACTTTTAATAGAAGACCATTAGTGGAATTTCACCAGAATTTTCAAAATTTATTAATTAAATTAATTAAAATAATTTCATTAATTAATTTGTTAAAGAGATTATTTAGAATGGTTTCATGTGAAATGTGCTGTTCTTCCTGAGTCAGAATTGTGCACAGTGGTGGTGATAGGAACCAGATGTCCTCCTCTGAAAACTACCTCACAGAATAATTATGAATACACTGCTTGATGTTTTAGCTTGAGGTTTTGACTGAAATGTTTGGCACATTTGTGTTGTAGTCATGGTGACCCCTGGTTCCTATCACCACCACTGTCTGTTTCACATCAAAACTGAATGTTTACATCTCAACCACGTAATCATGCAGCAATTGTGAAAAATCAGTGGAATTCCCCAATAACACTCAGCAGGATTGATCACTGTAATAGTCTCCTAACTGAACTCCCAAAAAAGACAAACAGCTTCAGCTGATTCAGAATGCAGCTGCCAGAGTCTCACTAGGAGTAAAAGAAGGAAACACATCACCCCCCCACCCCCACCCCCTTCCTAAAATCCTTACACTGGCTACCAGTCTGTTCCAGAATAGATTTTAAGGAGCTGTTACTGGTTTATAAATCGCTTGCTGGTACAGGAGCAGCAGATTTATTTCATATGTTGCAGCGATATGAGCCGAGCAGAACTCTCAGATCATTAGGAACTGGTCAGTTACTCCTGCTGAAGGTGGAGACTATACATGGAGAAGCAGTGTTTTGCTGCTGTGCTGCTATTAAATGGACCCAGCTGACAGAGAGCATTAGAGGAGCTCCGACACTTTAATTCCAGGCTCAAAACATTCCTGTATGAGCAGCTTTCAGCTCAGTTTAAACACTGTTAGCTTTTCTAGCCCTTTTCTTCTGGAACGAAACTTTATTATCCTAATTTAACTTTTAATTTTTAATTTGATTGTTTTTAACTATGCTAATATAATTTCTTATTTAATTTTTAATTTTATGATTTTCTCTTTTAAATCTATTTTTTTAACCAGGCTTTAATCATGTTTTAATTTCTATTCTCCTTTACCTTACTTTTTTTTAACAACTGTGTATTTTCTCATTTGTAAAACACTTTGAAAGACAGCAGTGTATATAAGGTGCTGTATAAATAAACTTGCCTTGTCTTAAGGTATGTTTCAGAGTTGCATGTCCACTTATAATGGTAATTATTAGTGTTAAAGCCAGTAACCAGCACGGTTGCACAACATACAACCCCAATTCCAAAAAAGTTGGGACAGAATGTGAGTGTTTATTTGGTTTAGATATGGTTTCTGGCCTGGCCCTTTATACACAGAGATTTCTCCAGATCCCTGAATGGTTTGAAGATATTATATATTATAGAGGATGAAATACCTAAAATCCCCACAAATGCTCATTGAGGAAAACTTTTTTCAAACTGCTGGATGTTTTGCTGATGCATTTTTGTAAAGTAGCTACTCTCAACTTATCCTCGCTCATAAAGGCCTTTTCTGGCTGCTCCTTTTATATCCAAGCATGATGTCCCAACTTTTTTGGAATGTATAGCAGACTTCAATTTCAGAAGGAGCATGTGTTTACCAAAAACAATGAAACTGATAAGATAAAACATTTCATAGTTGTCTTTGACTGGACTGGTAATCTGGCATACTGGGCTGATGCACTTTTGGGCTGATATAATTTAATTTAGAACTTTTTTATACTGGCCAACAAGCCGGCCACAAAGCAGGGACAGCAGCCCATTGGTCCTTTTTTTGTATACTGACACTGGGCTGGCCCAATCACATATTGATGGACATACAGGCCCCGCCCTGCCCCTGTCCTTTCTGTTTCTCGTGTCAGCTGACGTGACTCAGAGCCAAAAATCTGTGGATGAGCAATGAAGAAGCAAAAGCGCAAGGGGGTTGCAGAGAAGTTGCCGGACCAAAAAAATAGGCAGATGCTGCTGAATGTGCAAAAATAACATATGTTTGCTGCAGCTTCAATAACTACAGGACCTGACGTTGTGCAGCAACAGCAGGTCCACTGCCAGTCAGAGGAGGGGTGTGACAGAGACGCCGAGGGACAGAGTGGGCAGGAGCAGGAGGAGCCCAGTGTAATTAAAGAGGTAGTGTGTGTGAAATGCCTTGATGACATCATGACGATGATAATTCAGTGATAATAAGATAACATAAACTGAACATTATCACAAAGTGAGACCATCACCTACTGCTGGTGGTCAATAGGTCAGTCAATTATAAATAGCACAATGTTATTTTTTGCTATGCAGTTGCAACCTCGGCTGACTACTCTAACATTAACTAGCTAACGTTATTTTGTCAGCATTGTGCTGTCTAAGCCCACGTTGCTGTGAGTGACCAAGGTCACTCAACACAATATCATAATATCATAGAATCATTAGGCTTAGGCTTCCCAGATAAATGATGCTGTGTAATACAGTCTACAACACCTCCAGCTCTGAGGGTGTTCAGAGGGCCATGCAGCATTTTCCAATAAGTAAGTACACCAGACATGCAGCTGTCTCTACACTGTTCTAGATTAAAGATACCAGTACTGAGATCATTTATAACTCCATCAATTATGATTCTCACCTTTCTCTCTTTGTCTCCCTGTCTCACTCTTTTTAAGGCTGCCTCATTTGTGGAGATCTTTGCTGTCCATTGGTGTGGGGTTCACAGGCAACTTGCATACTATGTACAGATATGCTTAAATTGTATTAATTTATTTGTAAAGCTACTTTTTCTTTGACAGTTTTGAGTGTTTCTTTGACAGTTTTGACTGCTTGAGTGTGGAGATTGTGCACTCCATGGCCACATCTGACCACCAGGGACTCATTCAAGAGCAAATTAGTATTCTGCTCCACTTGCACCCAGCACTTAAGCCTACTACTCAGCTTTGTAGTGGTAGTAGGTATGTACACATATGAAAAGGAACCCCAAGGAAGGAGTACTGGGGCGTGGTGACCGACCGATACAGAAATGTCAAGGACAATTTTCTGTCCCAGTCCAGCCCTGGTCAAAATAGATTTAAAAATCATGGCTTCCTGTTTTTATTTGCATTTTACCTACTGTCCTAACATTTTTGGAATTGGGTTTGTATTGTTTTTCACAGTGTGATACTAGTATCCTGACGCTCACAGTTCCAGACGTATGCTGCTGTAGGGATTTTAATTTATTAAGGTACTCAAATAATACATTTTTTGGCTCAAAACAATGCAGGACAACTATCACCATCAAATAACTGGTTGCCAGTGTATTTTCTGTCAAATACAAGGCATAGAAACAAGACAATATAACCACAACACTACCAGCTTCTCCAACTCATGCAGCCATTATAGCCAGAACTGGACAGAGTTTCTGATACTCACCACAGTAGACCATCTGCTGGAGAGAGCAGAGCAGCAGCACCATCAGCAGAGCAGACAGAGTCCTCATTCTAGCAGAAGAGATTTCACCCAGAGAGACGGAGCTGAGGAGAGGAGGGAGGAGTCCAGTGCTGGATGAGTGACCAGCACTCCTCATTTATACAGAGTGGGACAGGATCTCCGCATGGCTGAAATCCCCTACTAATCAAACGTTAATCACGTTTCTCAGTAGCTCTGCCACCATAACGTCCTTCCTCTTCTGTCTAACACCAACATTATATCTGTGTGGAAGAACAACCTCTGCGTTTTACAGACTCTGCAAAGAATCTGCCCAAGAAACAGAACCGCATATCATACCACATCTTCCTAAAAGTACAGTTGTATGCAGTTAAAATAGTTTATTTGCTAAATTTAACATTTTGGGGAAAAAATAAAACATAAATTGTGATCTGTGCGCAGAGGTCGCCAACTTTCTACAGAGTCGATCGCTACAGACCTCCAAACTTCATGTGGCCTTCAGATTAGTTTAAGAACAGCATAGAGAGCTTCATGGAACGGGTTTCCATGGCCGAGCAGCTGCATCCAAGCCTTATATCACCAAGCGCAATGCAAAGCGTCGAATGCAGTGGTGTAAAGCGCCGCCACTGGACTCTAGAGCAGTGGAGACGTGTTCTCTGGAGTGATGAATCACGATTCTCCATCTGGCAATCCGATGGACGAGTCTGGGTTTGGTGGTCTGACTGCATTGTGCCAAGTGTAAAGTTTGGTGGAGGGGCGATTATGGCGTGGGGTTGTTTTTCAGGAGATGGGCTCGGCCCCTTAGTTCCAGTGAAAGGAACTCTTAATGCTTCAGCACCAAGAGATTTTGGACAATTTCATGCTCCCAACTTTGTGGGAACAGTCTGGGGAGTTTGGCCCCTTCTTGTTCCAACATGACTGCGCACCAGTGCACAAAGCAAGGTCCATAAAGACATGGATGAGCGAGTTTGGTGTGGAAGAACTTGACTGTCCTGCACAGAGTCCTGACCTCAACCCGACGGAACACCTTTGGGATGAATTAGAGTGGGGACTGTGAGCCAGGCCTTCTCGTCCAACATCAGTGTATGCACAAATGCGCTTCTAGAAGAATGGTAAAAAATTCCCATAAACACTCCTAAACCTTGTGGAAAGACTTCCCAGAAGAGTTGAAGCTGTTATAGCTGCAAAGGGTGGGCAAACATATTATTAAACCCTATGGATTAAGAATGGGATCTCACTCAAGTTCTTATGCGTGTGAAGGCAGACAAGCAAATACTTTTGGCAATATAGTGTATATATTATTTTCACTTCAAAAAATCAAGAAAACATGGAATGGGACTGGGGTGCACAAAGTTTTGCAAACAACTGTACATAATCATGAATGCCTTCTGAAGACTATCTATATGGAAAGATAAATCAACAATCAGGATAAACAGATTGAAAGTCAGACAGATATACTGACATCCATATAGACAGAAAGGCTGACAGTCATGATGACAGAGGCTGTGTTTGAAATAACCCAAAACACACTGCTGTGCACGGCTTGAGCCCAAACCTAGTAATTAGTACGCAGTACGTGACCAACATGAATTTCTCCAGTACACCAAAGATACCCGGATCACTGCTCAAGGAAAATATTTCAGTACATGGTCAGAACGTCTTCATCACATACTGCACCCAAAACGCAACGCGGTCAGAAGGACGTAACCACTGATGTAACTGCATGGATATATTTATAGCCCTGAATTCAGCCTTTCTATACATTAATAACGGCAAAATGAAAAAAAATTAATCCAAATACTGCTGCACTGAAGCCACATCTGTTTTCTCTGATGGTCTTGAGGTGGGTTTGCTCACTCCATCTATTTAACAAAGTTAACTTACTGCACAGACGATGTAATTAACAGTAACTTACAATGTAAAGTTGGTCTCAGCCAAACAATCCGCTCAGCACCAGCTTTTCAGGCTCGCATGCAGAGTCACACTGTTTATTCAGTCAAACCAGCTTATATTACCAACTACGAATGTAATGAAAATGAAACTCACAAACAGCCGAAAACAGGTGTCCCTGGTGTAAAAGTAGTAATGCTGTGTGAGCGAGGAGACCAGAGACTCTGGCTGTGTTCAAAATGACATACTACTATACTACATACTGCATACTGCACTAGTATATACTGTACACTATATGCTACTATTCATAATAATATTTCTTTACCTTCGCTCCTGTTTCCTCAGCTCTGCAATCACTGCTTAGCAGCCATTGCTAGCTTTAGCACAAACAGCCGAAAACAGGTGTGTTTGAAAATGACACAGGGTCACCACACAGAACAATCCACAGCTGTTTATTTGTGGCTTTGGGGATGAGTAGAAAACAATGTCCTGCTGTCTGTCATTGTGTGGGTGTCTTTTAAAAGTTACAGAGGCTCATCTCTTGACCAAAATACAAACGTACACACTGAAAAGTGAATAGCAACAGTTTCTAAGCAGTGATTGGAGGGCTGAGGAAAATGAATTGTTTGAATGAAGTGTTTCGAGATTATGGCTGAAAAGTCCGGTTAGGGAACGTTAGTGCGGTTTTACCAAAGTCAAAGAAAGTCTGCTTACTTTTTAAAGTTATTGTTTTGTCCCATTAATGTAACTGAGGAGTTCTTTGACAACGTGCTACAATACACACAACATGCAGAATACATGGCAAAATGAAACGCAAAACCTTTACTACACTGTTTTCACATCGTTTGACCTCTTTTTTTGTACTTTAAATGTATTTGTCTCATTGAAATACATCCAAAATAGAGAAATAATGCACACGTGAGGTTGCATTTAAACAGCAACATGTAGAAAACATGCCAAAATTAAGTAAAAGATCCATTACACTGATTTAATATTGCTTAAAGTACTGCACAGTGGAAAGCAACATAGCTGTGCCTTTATAATATTTTAAAGTGGATTGTATTTTGTACATATATATTTAACTATAAAAATGCACATCCTCATGCACTGTTATTCAGTAAAGCTGTAAAGAGATGTGAAAACAATGTAACAGAGGTTCTGTTTTTTATTTTGACACATAACTACCAGTGTGTGAATCAGTTCAGCTCAGTCTTTGTCCCTCTCCACCTTAAGGAATCACACAAAGTCACTCAGTGAACTACATGTATTTTAAGCTCTTGAACAGAAGAGTCATCGTGTTTACACTGTTACCCCGCTAAGCTAACTCACTTTAACTTCCTGTAGGGAGTCACAAACAGCCGTTAGGTCCGCGGTTCACAAGAGAACCGCCTAAATTTACCCACAGGAACGGTTTCTCACCATCTACACACACAGATATGTTCAATATGGTGATCTAATACGACAGTCAATCAAAAGAGCAAAGACAGAAGACAAATAACTCACATCTGTAAACGCGTTAGTCGGCAGTAAAGACCTGTTTATCAGACTGAAGGGTAGTGATGGAGAGTCGATTCCAAGAGAATCGATTCTTTGATTCCCCCACGGCTGGAAGACGGGATCGACTCTTTGCCAGGGACTCTAAGAGTCGAAATGCTTGGAGTCGACTCCTCGTGTTTTTTCACCGTAACTCGCTCGAGGGACGCTTTCGATTCGTCTTGCACCGCAGCTTTTTTCTCCGGGGTTATACAGGTTATAAACAATGAGCAGAATCGATTCACGGAGCAAAAACCGAAAAAAAAACACAGAACGTTGAGGAAAAAGGGTGAAGCTGAGATTCGATCCTTACTTGTTTGCATTTTATTTATTTATTTAATTTTATATTTAATTATTTCATTTATTCAAATTTCCGTTCCACCTTAAATGGCGCAGTTACACCAGAACAACTGCATCACGAATATTAATGGCGGATACGAATCTAACTTCAGCTTCATGAAAAGAGGGACAGGAGAACATCCACCTGGCTCCTTTTAGAAGAATCCAGACTACAGTAATGATTTTCTCAGTGCATCAGTCTGAGTTTCCCCTCAGCCCTCATTATGCGGAATAAGCGTAATTAAGTCGAGATGTCCACTCCATCAATTTGGAAGGGGTCAAGAGTCGAAGTTGACTCATGTAACAGTACTTGAGGCAGAGAGGGAGGGGGGGACTCATTCCAACCCTTAACAGAGACCCTCCTCCCAGACCCTTTCCACAGAGACACTCCCCTATAGACCCTCCCACAGAGACCCTCTACCTGTAGACCATCCAGTTTCCTCAGCTCTCCATTCGCTGCTTAGCAACCATTGCTAGCCGCTTTTCAGCTCTTTTCAGGTGGATATATTTTGGTCAAGAGACGATTCTGCTGAGTTCATAAAATAGTACCATGACAGAGAGGAGGGTGTTGTTTTCATCTCCAAAGCCACAAATAAACTTTACAATGTCAGATTTTTATCTGTGTATTAAACCTGTTGGGTTTCCAGACACAACTGTTTTCCTCTTCTGAGACTTCAAAGACTAAGACAAAGAAAAATAATATCTAGAAAGCCTCTTATTTCAAAATGTCTAGTAAAACATTATAAATATATCATTAAAAAAGGAAATTTTACAAATTAACTTTAAGTTGGCTTTAAACCTGGCTCCGCTCACAGAATAACGGCCTGCTGACGGTTCCTAGAATTAGAGAAACCACAGCAGGTGGTTGAGCTTTTTCCTACGTAGCCCTAAAATTGTGGAATCATCTCCCGACCTCTGTTTGGGACTCAGACACACTCTCTACACTTAAAACTAGACTCAAAACTTTTCTGTTTGCACAAGCATTCTGCTAATATCAGTTGTTGCACTATTAACTCACTAATATCTCTCCATAAATGGACGTGTCCTCTTAATCAATCTCTCTCTCTCTCTCTCTCTCTCTCTCTCTCTCTCTCTCTCTCTCTCCCTTTATTTGAGCCTCTGAGCAACGTCTGCCTGAGTCGCCTCATGGGAGCCACCAGAGCTGCTAGAGTCACCAGAGCTCCATCTCTGTTGGCTGATCTGCACCTCACCTTCATGAACTGACCCTCCTGCTGCTGCTGCATAAACTCAAACTATCTAATTAACCATTGCTCCACCTGTTTTTCCTGTTTTGTATTCTAATATTTTATACTAATTGTGTTTACTATCCGGTGTCGACCAGAGGAGGATGGGTTCCCCTTTTGAGTCTTGGTTCCTCTCAAGGTTTCTTCCTCTTGCTCTTAGGGAGTTCTTCTCTGCACCTGTCACCATTGGCGACGCTCATGGGGGCTCGGACCTGGATTTTTCTGTAAAGCTGCTTTGTGACAACACCTGTTGTAAAAAGCGCTTTATAAATAAACTTTGATTTGACTTAATAATGTTTCAAAAGTTGAAGTAGATTTAAATGACAGAAGATGAACATTTTTGTTGCAGGAATCAATAACAAACAATGGAACTGATGGTTATTAGTGGATTCAGCTCAGTGCGAATCCTCAAATTAGAATTACTGGCTCCTTTAACTGCATGTACCAATTACATCTGTGTTGATTGATGCAGCACATTAGAAATCAGCATGTATTTCATTATATGCATTCTACTTGTAATGAATTTGTCCGTTTCTGAAAACTCATTTAGTTGTAATAAACATATTTGATTGTAATTGACTTGTACTAAATTTGTCTCATCGTATTCAGGATAACTCATCTAAGTCACCTACTAGCAGAGGGGAATCCCTGGGACCTTCTAGAGGCCTACTGATCTCTGGGAACTAAAAAAATATATGTTTGTAATTATTTTAGCTCAGTAGAAAAACGCTGAATACAGGAGAAAATCAAGCTGCTTCAGATCTGAAAACATCCACAGGTATTTCTGTCCATCCTTCCACTGTGAGAAGACGACTCAGCGCTGTGGGTCTGAAAGGATGTGTAGCTGATCAAGAAGAACCTCACTGAGAAAAGGAGACGGACACATCAAACAAAGAAGCTGAACGATGGACTGACCACCCCAGAGTCCAGACCTCAACACCACTGAATGTGTTTGATTACTTCAGAAAATGATCAACCAGCTTCTAAGACTGAACTTTGGAGGTGTGTCTGCAGATTCTTTGAGGAACTGAAAGTGAGTCTCCTGAAAAGAATGGAAGCTGGAATAAAGCTAAAGAGTGACTCACTGAACACTCAAACGGCTGAGATTAGATTTATTTGTTGATGCTTCTCTGTAATTTTCTTTTTGAATGTGAGTTGAGTGGAAGGAAAGGATTTCTTTTAAAGTAGACAGTGAATGAGTATAAATGATGATCATGTTGTAAACAGGCCTGGGGCCAGTTGCACCAGCTGTGCATAAGTTCAAACGTAGGCTAGTCATAACGTAAGCGTTTACTAAGTTCAGGTTTATGCATTACTAAATCAGAACAGGTTGCACCACAAACTAGATTTAACTTTGAGCTTAGTAGTTACTAAATATTTACACCTCCCCCTGAGTAGGTGTAAGTGTTGTGGAAACCATCAGAAACCACATAGAAAAGCAAAAAAAGAGCAATAATATGATTCTTTGGTTAACTATGCTAAATATTCTAAACTATATATAGGGTGTGATTTTACTTACAGCTCTTATTATCGTCCTGGTTTTAACTTTAGCATGAAGCTGAACACCCACAGCTCCAGCTCAGAAACAATCAGCAGTTGCACAAACGGCCAAACTGAGGTTGCTGTTGTGTCGCTCAGCCGGAAGGCGCACTTGAAAAGCGGAAATATTAAAGAATAAACAGACACTGGCTATAGATCTACAGATGATAGATAGATAGATAGATAGATAGATAGATAGATAGATACATTTATTTGTGATAACTTGTGTAGTTGTAACATATTTGACACCAGTTTACTTGTCATAAATTTTTTTCTTGTTATATTTAGGATAACTCATGAGCTTAGGTCAGCAGAGGAGAAATCAGGACCTTCTAAAGGCCTACTGATTCCTCATAACTAAAAAATATACATTTGTAATTTTTATTTTTTTAAGTTCAACAGAGATACTGAATATAGGAGAAAATCAAGCTGCTTCAGATCTGAAAACATCCACAGGTGTTTCTGTCCATCCTTCCACTGTGAGAAGACGACTCAGCGCTGTGGGTCTGAAAGGATGTGTAGCTGTTCAAGAAGAACCTCACTGAGAAAAGGAGACGGACACATCAAACAAAGAAGCTGAACAATGGACTGACCACCCCAGAGTCCAGACATCAACACCACTGAATGTGTTTGATTACTTCAGAAAATGATCAACCAGCTTCTAAGACTGAACTTTGGAGGCGTGTCTGCAGATTCTTTGAGGAACTGAAAGTGAGTCTCCTGGAAAGAACAGAAGCTGTAATAAAGGTACAGAGTGACTCACTGAACACGGAAATATTTAATATAATAGTTGTTGAGGCTTCTGTGCAGTTCTCTATGTAAACGTAAGAGGAAGTACATGTAAAAAGATAAAAGATAATGAAGTGGACACTGAATGTGTGTTAATGACACAGGCCTGATCTGAGATCATTCTCACACTTTATGAAAGCCAGATGATGAAATATCAGATGTGTGTAAGAGTGCAGTCAGTGTAAAATCACTGAAGATTCAGACGTGATTAAGCTTAAACAGCAAACTGCTAAGATCACATCATCTGAAGAGGCTTTGATTTATTCAAAATGAATTTCATGTTGAGCCTCTTTAAAACTGTTTAAAAGCTACATTTTCTTTTGAACTATTACTCAAACGTCACTAAAACATCAACTGTGACGAGTAGGACACTGGAGGAAAATCACCTTTATTGAAGAAATAGAAATACAAATGATACAACATTGTAAAAATGTTAGACAGCTCACTTAGTTTCACTTTGTGTTATGTACACATGTACAATGTATACATGTACAATTTTACTGCATTACTTTACAAACACTGCGTGAATCTACTAAAATTCTACAGCCTTCTCACGATCAGCTTCAGGGTTTGGAGGATGTGTTGGGTTTTGCTGCTGTCTGTACAATTTGCCGCTGGTTTACTGCTTCCATGTGACTGATGACCCATTTCAAGGAAGGATCCACACAGAAGCTCTTTCCACTATCCATCTGAAAGCTGTCACAAAGGAAAAGTGACAAAAATGTATATAAAGTATATAAAGTTCTACGTCTTCACATGATCAGTTTCAGGGTTTGGAGGATGTTTAGAGTTTTGCTTTTTTCTGGTCCAGTTTTTTCATGTGACTTTTGACCCAATCCCAGGAAGGATCCGTACAGAATCTCTTTCCAGTATCCATCTGAAACCTGTGACAAAGGAAAAAGTGACAACTCCATTAATACAGCAGATGAACACTAAACAAACAAAGCTGGTAAACATGGACAGTGTGTATATGTAGCCTAACTGACATTGTTAGTAATAATTCCACATGGAAAATTAATTGTAAATCTTGCAACAATCTATAAAATCAGCCTTTAATGTTGTCTCTGTGATGATGGTTTTGGGTTTATCAGGTTTCCTGGTTAATTACAGATCAGTTCAGTTCATTCAGTCAGTTCAGCATGTTGATTGTGGAGACTCTCCTGATCATGTGATACTCACACAACAGCTTTTATGGGGCAGTTGCTTCTGGTCAGGCTGTAGGATTCAATGCGTGCCAAGGGAAGCTTCCGCAACACAGTCAGCTTAGTACAGCACACTTCTGCAATGTTAGTGGCTTCATTTCCTTGAGAGGAGTCAACATGCATCACCATGAGTTTCAGGCCCACAGTGCATTACAGCATCACAGAAGGAGATTCCAGCACTTTAACAGATGATCATTATGGGAATTCCACCAAATTTTCAACATTTTTGTATAATACATTTTTAAAGGATGTCAGCAAAGTCATTCAGAGTGGTTTGGTGTGAAAAGCCACATTTTAGAGAAACTTATTGAGTCAGAACTGTTCACAGTGGTGGTGATAGGAACCAGACGTCCACCTCTAAAAGCTCCATCAGAAAAAGTTATTATATGACATGGTTATGAATTCACTGCCTGATGTCTGAGACATACTCACTATAGTTCTGAGATGAAGTTTTGGCTTGAAATGTGAACCTGATTTGTGTTGTAGTCCTGGTGACCCCTGGTTCCTCTCACCACACCTAAAGAAATCTGAGTCTCTATAATTAACCATTTCACACTAAACCACCCTGAATGATTCTGTTTACATCTCAAGCACTGAATTATGCAGAAATTGTAAAAAAAAAAAAATGGTGGAATTTCCCTTTGAAGTACGTTTCAGAAATGCATGACTTCTGCTTGAACCACTCATTATGGTGATTATTAGGGTTAAAGCCAGTAACCAGCAGGGCTGCACAATATATTTTGTCAAATGTTATTCCAAAGTTGGTATTTTCAATACTGGACATTCAATATGCAAATAAGCCTGTTTCTGTGGATGTTTTAATGTATTAAAATACTCATGTAATCCAACTATGCATTGTTTTTTATTGGCTGAAAACAATGTAGACCAACTGTCACCATCAAGTTACCAGTTGCCAGTGTGTTTTCAGTTTATTGCATAGAATACGGACAAAATTATATAATAACAGTATTAGCAATTTCTCCATATTGTGCAGTCATTGTAGCCAGAACTGGACAGAGTGTCTGATACTCACCACAGTAGACCTGCTGGAGAGAGCAGAGCAGCAGCACCATCAGCAGAGCAGACAGAGTCCTCATTCTAGCAGAAGAGATTTCACCCAGAGAGATGGAGCTGAGGAGAGGAGAGAGGAGTCCAGTGCCGGATGAGTGACCAGCACCTCCTCATTTATACAGAGTGGTTTCTCGTTCTCAGCAGCTCTGCCACCGTAACGTCCTTCTTCTTCTCTATAACACCAACATTATATCTGTGTGGAAGAAGAACCTCAGCATTTTTCAGACTTTGCAGAGAATCTTCCCAAGAAACAGAACCGCATATCATGCCACATTTTCCTAAAAATACAGTTGTATGCAGTTAAAATTAATTGTTAATGCACAATTTACTAAAAAATAAATTGTGTATGAAAATGTGCAGAAGTGTGTCTTCTAAAGAGAATGTGTTCACTTATTTTCACTTAGAAAATCAACAAAACATGGAATGGGACCGGACTGCAAACAACTGTAAATAATCATGAATGCCTTCTGAAGACTATCTTTATGGAAAGATAAATCAACAATCAGGATAAACAGATAGAAAGTCAGACAGATATACTGACATCCATAAAGACAGAAAGGCTAACAGTCATGATGACAGAGGCTGTGTTTGAAATAACCCAAAACACACTGCTGCGCACGGCTTGAGCCCAAATCTAGTAATCAGTATGCAGTACGTGACCAACATGAATTTCTCCAGTACACCAAAGATACCCGGATGATGCTCTGCTCCGGGAAAATATTCCAGTACATGGGCAGAACGTCTTCATTACATACTGCATCCCAAAACGGACGTAACCACTGATGTAACTGCATGGATAAATTTACAGCCCTGAATTCAGCCTTTCTATACATTAATAACGGCAAAATGAAATAAATTTATCCAGATGCTGCTGCACTCAGTGCAACACTGAAGCAACATCTGTTTTCTCTGATGGTCTCGAGGTGGGTTTGCTCACTTCATCACACAGCGTATGACTCAGAGTCACACAGCATATAACTCAGTAATACTAGCTCATATTACCAACTATGAATGTAATGAAAATGAAACTCACAAACAGCCGAAAACAGGTGTCCCTGGTGTAAAAGTAGTAATGCTGTGTGAGCGAGGAGACCAGAGACTCTGGCTGTGTTCAAAATGACATACTACTATACTACATACTGCATACTGCACTAGTATATACTGTACACTGCACGCTACTCTTCATAGTAGTATTTCCTTATCTTCGCTCCTGTTTCCTCAGCTCTCAAATCACTGCTTAGCAGCCATTGCTAGCCGCTTTAGCACAAACAGCCAAAAACAGTTGTGTTGGAAAATGACACTGATTTTTTTTTTTAGTCTATTTGTGGCTTTGGGGGTGAGTAGAAAATGTCCTGCCGTCTGTCATGGTATGAATGTCTTTTAAAGGTCACACAGACTCATCTCTTGACCAAAAGACAAACGTACACACTGAAAAGTGAATAGCTACAGTTTCTAAGCAGTGATTGGAGGGCTGAGGAAAATGGACTGGGTTTTAAGATCAGTCTGATTGGCTCAGTTCCTGATGCTGGCTTGTAGTCACACCCCTTCCCTGTAGTACAGCACATGGCTTGTGTCATACACTGGATACTGGACAGTATAGTACTGATGAAGAGTAGCATGTAGTATACAGTGCACAGTGTGCTATTCTTAACACAGCCATGGTCATGAAGGCCTACTGAACAGAAGACTATCCACTTTATTTTTCATGTGACCACTGTGTTTCGAGATTATGGCTGAAAGGTCTGGTTAGGAAACATTAGAGCTGTTTCACCAGAGTCAAAGAAAATCTGCTTACTTTTTAAAGTTATTGTTTTCTCCCAATAATGTAGCTGAGGAGTTTCTTTGACAACGTGCAACAATACACACAACATCACTCTTCCACAGTGACATGCAGAATACATGGCAAAATGAAAAGCAAAACCTTTACTACACTGTTTTTACATCTCTTGACCTCATTTTTTGTACTTTAAATGTGTTTGCCTCATTGAAATGGAATCAAAACAGTGAAATAATGCAGATGTGAGGTTGCATTTAAACAGTATCGTGCATAAATTGTGCCAAAATAAATAGTAAAAGATCCATTACACTGATTTAATATTGCTTAAAGTACTGCACAGTGGAAAGCAACATAGCTGTGCCTTTATAATATTTTAAAGAGGATTGTATTTTGTACATATATATTTCACTATAAAAATGCACATCCTCATGCACTGTTATTCAGTAAAGAGGTAAAGAGATGTGAAAACAATGTAACAGAGGTTCTGTTTTTCATTTTGACACATATTCTGCACATCACTATGGAACAGTAACATAATGTGTGCATTGTATTTCACGTTTTTCCACTGTAGTGATTTCTTTTCAGCTTGGTATGAGCTCCTCTCCACAGTCCAGACCTGTAAGGAGTCATAATCTGCTGTTATATAACTGATAGTGACTTATACACTCTCTCCCAATATTACAGATAATCAGACAGTCATAACTACCAGTGTGTGAATCAGTTCAGCTCAGTCTTTGTCCTTCTCCACCTTAAGGAATCACACAAAGTCACTCAGTGAACTACATGTAGTTTAAGCTCTTGAACAGAAGAGTCATCGTGTTTACACTGTTACCCCGCTAAGCTAACTCACTTTAACTTCCTGTAGGGAGTCACAAACAGCCGTTAGGTCCGCGGTTCACAAGAGAACCGCCTAAATTTACCCACAGGAACGGTTTCTCACCATCTACACACACAGATATGTTCAATATGTTGAACTAATACGACAGTCAATCAACAGAGCAAAGACAGAAGACAAATAACTCACATCTGTAAACGCGTTAGTCGGCAGTAAAGACCTGTTTATCACACTGAAGGGTAGTGATGGAGAGTCAATTCCAAGAGAATCGATTCTTTGATTCCCCCACAGCTGGAAGTCGGGATCGCCTCTTTGCCAGGGACTCTAAGAGTCGAAATGCTTGGAGTCGACTCCTCGTGTTTTTCCACCGTAACTCGCTCGAGGGACGTTTTCGATTCGTCCTGCACCGCAGCTTTTCTCTCCGGGGTTATAAAGGTTATAAACAATGAGCAGAATCGATTCACGGAGCAAAAACCGAAAAAATCTCACAGAAAGTTGTGGAAAAAGGGTGAAGCTGAGATTTGATCCTTACTTGTTTGCATTTTATTCAAAGTTCCGTTCCACCTTAAATGGCGCTGCAGTTACACCAGAACAGCTGCATCACGAATATGAACGGCGGATACGAATCTAACTTCAGCTTAATGAAAAGAGGGACAGGAGAACATCCACCTGGCTCCTTTTAGAAGAATCCAGACTACAGTAATGATTTTCTCACTGCATCACTCTGAGTTTCCCCTCAGCCCTCATTATGCGAAATAAGCGTAATTAAGTCGAGAAGTCCACTCCATCAATTTGGAAGGGGTCAAGAGTCGAAGTTGACTCTAGAAATCAGGGAGTCATGCAACAGTACTGAAGCGATGGAACCAGTGAGGATAAGTGAGGCACAGAGGGAGGGGGACTCATTCCAACCCTTAACAGAGACCCTCCCCCCAGACCCTTTCCACAGAGACACTCCCCTATAGACCCTCCCACAGAGACCCTCTACCCATAGACCATCCATTAGAGATCTTCCTCCAGAGACCCCCTTCCAGGGGAGACAGCAATCCCTGGTGTAAAAGTAGTAATGTTGTGTGAGCGAGGAGACCAGAGACTCTGGCTGTGTTCAAAATGACGTACTACTATACTACATACTGCATACTGCACTAGTATATACTGTACACTGTACACTACTCTTCATAATAATATTCCCTTATCTTAGCTCCTGTTTCCTCAGCTCTCCATTTGCTGCTAAGCAGCCACTGCTAGCCGCTTTTCAGCTCTTTTCGGGTGGATATATTTTGGTCAAGAGACGATTCTGCTGAGTTTATAAAATAGTACCATGACAGAGAGGAGGGTGTTGTTTTCTGTCCATCTCCAAAGAAACAAATAAACTTTACAGTGTCAGATTTGTGTCTGTGTATTAAACCTGTTTGGTTTCCAGACACAACTGTTTTCCTCTTCTGAGACTTCAAAGACTAAGACTTTTAATAAAAATAATATTTATATTTCAAAAGTCACCATGTCTAGAGGAAAATAATAAACATATAATTAAAAAAGGAAACTTTACAAATTAACTTTAAGTTGGTTTGGCAAAGCTGGCTTAAATTGACTTAATAAAGCTGGCTCCGCTCACAAAATAACGACCTGCTGACGGTTCCTAGAATTAGAAAAACCACAGCATTTTCCTACGTAGCCCCAAAATTGTGGAATCATCTCCCAACCTCTGTTCGGGACTCAGACACACTCTCTACACTTAAAACTAGACTCCAAACTTTTCTGTTTGCACAAGCATTCTGCTAATATCAGTTGTTGCACTATTAACTCACTAATATCTCTCCATAAACTGACCTGTCCTGTTAATCAATCTCTCTCTCTCTCTCTCTCTCTTTCTCTCTCTCTTCCTCTCCCTCCCTTTATTTGAGCCCCTGAGCAACGTCTGCCTGAGTCGCCCCATGTGAGCCACCAGAGCTGCTAGAGTCACCAGAACTCCATCTCCGTTGGCTGATCTGCACCAGTTTGACCACCATGGAGCTTCTCGCTGTACAAAGCTGTGTAAATTGCACCTGCATGAACTGACCCTCCTGAATCTAATTAACCATTGCTCCGCCTGTTTTCCCCGTTTTGTATTCTAATATTTTGTACTAACGCTGTTTGCTGTCCGGTGTGGACCAGAGGAGGATGGGTTCCCCTTTTGAGTCTTGGTTCCTCTCAAGGTTTCTTCCTCTTGCTCTTAGGGAGTTTTTCCTTGCACCTGTCGCCATTGGCGACGCTCATGGGGGCTCAGACCCGGATTTTACTGTAAAGCTGCTTTGTGACAACACCTGTTGTAAAAAGCGCTTTATAAATAAACTTTGACTCGACTTAATAATGTTTCAAAAGTTAAAGTAGATTTAAATGACAGAAGATGGACATTTTTGTTGCAGGAATCAATAACAAACAATGGAACTGATGGTTATTAGTGGA